TAATCTTCACCGATGATGACGTAATCATTGACGCACCGTCGTCGACCATGAGTCTCAGGGCTGGATCGGGTCGCTTCCCATCAATCAGTTTTCTTATTCGTGAAAGCCAACTGGTGCTTCACCACAGAGGACTACTTGTAGGAGAAGGGCGCACACGGATGCGTGTGTGGCTTTTAGTCTACTAATTGTTTGCTCTAACAAAGGGGGTGATACGTGCCGACAGGAAGGCGTGCTGGCCGTGAACGTGGAGGCGCGACTGACGAACATTTCCCCTTTCACGAAAAGCGCGCGTTTGCCGACCTCCCGGGTGACAACTACTCGCTGAAGCGCCATTAAAAGCTAGCCCGTGGTGCAAGACCTGCAATCGGCCAGTCCCTACGCCACAAACTTTGGCCATACTTTCCCTGGTGCCGTCTACGTCAAAAAAAAATCTTCGCTGGAGGAGGACACTCGAGTGGTTAATGCACACACTCAGCTTCGACTAGCCCAAGCGGTTGAACACGTGAAGAAGGTACAATGGCATCAGCACGGATGGAGCGATCGTTGCAGTGATGAAGGTCCCAATCTCGCGGAGCGCAGCTCTTCCACCGGTTCGGCTCGGTCGGCGAAAAGTTCGAAGTGGCCGTGACCACAGTCTCCTTGCGGCCAGCGTCCCACAGAGCTGCGCTGTTAGCGTACACCATCTCCTGGTCGGTGAAGTTGCGCCGGTTAAGGTCTTCTCGGCCGTCCAGGTTCTCGAACGTGGCCACAGGCTCCACACCAACACCCTGTCCATGTTATTCGACGCCAAGCGACCGCTTGGCGTCGGCTTTCCGCAAAAGTTGATGATCAGCGATGCCTCCGGACATCGGAATGCTCAACGGCTTCACAATTCCAAGACATGCGCATCTTACAGATGAAGCAAGCAGATACAATCTCCACGCCTTGTTCAATTTTTATGGTTGGCTGTGCCTGAGCAGGAATGGGATGTAGCTAACAACTACACAACAAATTCATGATGGCTGTATTGAGGATGCACATGTAACGCCACTAGAACGGCCAACCTACGCACGACCTTAGACTTTAGTTTCTGTATTCAGCCATCAACTACGAGAGATGCCAGACTTCCTTTCGGGATCGATTTCCAGACAACCTCTTCTCTTGTGGAAAGTTTTTGTCATAGTTCTGGGGCTAATGCTACCGGTTTGGCGTTGGAATAGGATCAGATTGAGACCCGATCCTTGTCGTTGTAAATGGTATTTTCATCGGCATCGTTACCCTCAGTATTGGGGCCAGCAATTACATTGCTGCGGGAAGAAGTGGAGATTCTTGGGATATTCAAAATGCTGTCCCACATCCCAACTGTGGCTTCGTCGCCGTAGTCTCCAATCTGCTCCCAGTCGAAGTGTACAAGATATTCGGCTAGTTGTCTGTTGTTTAGAGCAACTGTATCGAGTTCCGCAGCCAACGTATTGATGGTATTATCATCAGCAGGAGCCAATTGTTGTTGATTTTTGTCGTTAACGCGCGCACAGCGGGAGGTGTTGGTGAAGCAGTTTGAGTTGGCGCTGAGGTATGACGCAATGGCGTTGAGGTGGGCCAATGACTAACTCCGGAGTCTGGATTAGCGCAAGCTCACTGAACAAACGCTCACAGGTTGTCGTATTAACGACGATGGACAAGATTGTAGGAGCAAGCACAGGAAATTTGCAGTTCGTTTTCGTATTCATCTCATACTTCAAAAACGTCGACACTGCATCGCTGCTGAAGTCGGTAGAGCGTGAAGTTGTATAAGTACCCTGAATCCAATCGAATTCTTCACCACGAACCCGGCTGTCATCTCCATTTACAAAGCAACGATAGCAAATTGACAAACATCGTCCAGTAATCACAGTTGGTGTTTTTACTGCCTATTCAGAATGACGAAAGAACCTTAGAATGAATAGAGGTTGCTCCCAGGCATTCCAACGAGCTTCCACTACGTTTGTGAGAGAGTCACCCCTCTCCGTAGATACAACCCCACGGTAAATATCCATGAATGAAAAAAACTACATCTGCCACTGTATTTTCATTCCTTTTGGAGACCGAATGAACCAGTACAATGGCCGAACAATTTTCTCCGCAGTCTCCAACTTGGTTCAATACTCAACGTCCCCAAAAATTCAACTCTTGTGCGTGAGATCCGGGCTACTCCGATATGTGAAGGCCATATCTTCTATAGCTCCGCGTACACGAAGTAACGACGCAAAACAAGCCTGCATCAAATTCCACCTAGTTTCACATAGCATGAAAAACGGCAAACCTATCGCCATAGCGCTTAGCCATTGCTTTAGCAGCCATTTAGAAGTAGAAGCGTTCAGAAACTGGCCACTCTGCGGCTTCCTAGGAAACCTTTGTAAACGCCGAGTTTAGAACGGCTATCATCCGATCGTTAACATCGTGTGCGAAACAATGTATGAAGGCGATATTGGTGCCAATCTACAACGTGCGCGGCTACATTGCCTGGCGCTGTCAGTCACAATTGCACATACTTTCCGCTCCAATGCAAATAGCTCGTCGATAACCCCTTCCATCTGTTTGGCAATTGCAAGGCCGTCATGTTGATCACCAGTATCCTTTAAATCGTAAGTAAAAAAAACTGCAATCCACACCCCAGCACATGCGGCTTCTGTGGCGAAGCGCGGTGAACACTCTGCCGACAAAGGGGCGTATAGTGAGACCCGGACTTGGGGGTCAACTTCTAGGATGTTAACACCAGAAATAAC